GTTTTGGGAACAGCTGATTGGCGGTTCTCAAAATGGCCGCCTGCTGTTTCCTGGACCTCATTTCGCAAGACAGGCACTGGAAAATGGCCGTCCTATGGAGGAACTTCGCTGGACGAGCAGGTATTTCACCTACTGGAACGCATTGAACAGTTTTGAATGCATTCCAATGGTCTTTTTTATTTCGCTTCACGATGATTTCACTCTACAGCGATTTTGCTGGAACGGATTATCGCTGTAAATATTCACAACTTTAAAGTTATTTACACTGTTAGAGAAGACCTAATTCTCAGTACTGTGAATGACTGTAATGGAAGTATTTCTTTTAAAATAATAATAATATTAACAAACATCTGGCTGACTTCATTTGGTTTCATACTATAGTCAAATTTTATGAGTGCTAGTCAAATTATGTTTCTCACAATAGTAATGAAGCTGCAGGATGTGTGAAAAAAAGTAAAGCTATCACGCACCTTCTATAATTGTTTACCTAAGCACTTTTTCTCCTGGTGATTGCCTGAACATATTGCTTTGACACCACTTATATGCTGACACAATCTTTATTGATTGTAATTTACCTTCACCAGAAATATGAAGCAGTAGGGACAGAGCTGATGTAAGATTTTGACTTGTAAATGTGTTCTTTGTGATCACTGTAATTATAAAAAACACAGTGATAAAGAATTGTTTTTGGAAAAACAAGCATAAGTAATGAGAAGCAATTCATCTGAATTTAAGCAATTCATCTGAATTGCTTAAAATTAGAAATGCCTTCCCTAATGTAATTGCACAATACAAACATTTATTTTAAGCCAAATAGCAAAAAAATGACAATCATTCAAGATCTCTGATGTAAATTAGAAAGTAAGACCAAATTAGTCCGTAAATCTTTTAAATTATCATACATGTACAGCCATTCCTGTTGCCCTGGATAGTATGTCTTGCTTAAGCTTTTTATCACTATCATAGTGGATTAAAAATTGCCAATGGATATAAGATTTTTTCTCACATTTTTAAAAGGGGTATAAATGTACAGTAAACATTATACCTGATTTAAAACATATTTTTTCATTTCAGAGAAGTAACAAAATATTATAATACATATATTTGGTATGAAGTTATTATTTTAAGATGTATTTTATTACAATACTTGTAGAAGGTTCTGGTAGTAGTATGATACAAGATACTGTGATATTAGTGTCTTAGTGTACAGTCCTTACTGTACAGTCTGATCAGCCAAAGGTCATAGTGAATTCAATTGACTTTCATTTCTGGTAAATGTGAACAAAATTGTAAGTTTATTTTTGCAAATAAAACTTGAGCTGATTAATACCAATGACAGACTTGGATATTTCGACTCAGAGGTAAGTCCCAGTGAATTCAATAGTGATGAACTTAATGACTCTTGTAATACTTATAGTGACTCTTTTAAATATTTGTATATTTACTGTTCTTAGCCTTTAAATATTGTCCCGTGAACATTGTAAGCCGCCTTGCGTCGTTTTGGGGAGAAAGGTGCGGTAAAAAAATTTACAAATACATAAACAAAATTAATTGCATTATGAAACAAATGGTGCAATCTTTTAGCCTGCATTTGCAAAACAAACACAATTTAAATATCAGCATTGAAACATACTTTTCAAATCACAACACCCACACATTTCCTTCACTGAGCAAGTTTTTCTCCTAGATCGACATGTCTAAAATTAGCCTGAAGGTCAATTCTGAGCAGAAATACCCTTGCCATAGTACATGCTAGAAATGTTGGGTGCAGTAGATTCATTTTATTGCCGAACATTACCTGGACTGATTAAGAATAATGGTTGCTTTTGTAATCTAAATATAGTCCGGGGGGGGGGGAATAAGCTTACATCTCACCTTCAGTACATAGCTGTACATGCAGGAAAATGTAATTTTGAAAAAACATAATTCAGCACTCCATGTGAAACCCTGCAATCACATACCTATTAGGAGGTCACTGGCAGGTTCCCCCCAACTACTAGCTTTGGATATTCATAAAAAGTTGCTGGACAATGAGATGGTAGGGGATGTTCGTTTGTACTCTCCAGCACAGTTCATTATCTGGCTACTAGCCCTTGTTCCACACCTCCACAAAATGTCCAAGAGTTCTTCATCTCCTTTTCCATCCATTGGCTGCCACTGACATCTTGTCAATTACTATGTGATATTGCCTGTACTCCAGTATGTGGGTTAGTTGGGTCGAGACTATCTAGAGATACTGCACAACTAGTGCAGGTGTAGACTGTACCATACAACACTTTACAGAGGCAAAGATCTTCATGTATGCCCTGCATTAGGGACAGACTGAACTAAATGGGCATCACATCTACTACTTGGATTTTGATATGTTAAATACATAGGCAGCAAGGACAATGATTTAATAGTGATTGTGACTGTACTATGGCTTTACTTTTATCTGCCATGGAGCTGATTTGTATTATTTTCATACCCTGTTTTCTGGAAAATAAGACCTAACCTGAAAATAAGCCCTAGTATGATTTTTCAGGATACTCGTACTATAAGTCCTACCCCCAAAAATAAGCCCGTTAAGTGAAATCCCACCCTTCACCATTGTGCAGCAATCAGAAGAAGATGACATGACTGTATTTGAATAAATGTAGATTGTTGTGCATAAAAAAAATCTCCTGAAAATAATCCCTAATGCATTTTTGGAACAAAAATTAATATAAGACCCTTTCTTATTTTCAGGGAAACATGGTAATGTATTTTACTATCTTGTCCCCTCTTCTCCCATACTCTGGCATGATAATGACATCCAGTATTTACAGAAGTGCTGAATTATTTTCCAGTTGTTCTTGCAGATTTCTTACATGTTCACATTTTCCTTCTTTCCAAATATCTCCCAGGAGGTTCATTTGTGCTCCATCCCTTTTCCCATAAGCTTCTTTAGACTTTTTTTGTCACTGTTCTTCATAGCAACATTTATCCATTGGCAAAAGTTGTGATGTCCGTCTGATTCAAAGACCATTCAATTCTCACAAACATTTTTGCAGTAGGATACACTGAAGCAAAGAAATCGGCATGTATTCAAACCAACAGAATTCTAAACATCTCACAGGGCAGATGAAAGGTAGCATGGGATCCACTGAAATCTCTCTGGTTGGAATAGCAACAGTTTTGCCTCTATTGTTTAACAACAGCAAAAAAAAGTCATCAGCAAAACTGGGTAGCTACTGGCTATTTAAAAAAGTCTAAAATTCATGCTGGAGTTAATATCTTTATTAGTTCAGCCAAAAAAGTTCTACCAAAAAAGAAAAAAAAAAGAAAAAGAAACCCTGCTTACAAAAGTAAGTGCCAGGAGGGCAGGGAAGTGGGGAGGGAAGGAGTCTGGACTGACCATGTAGTTTGCTGGTGTTTCCAAATACAGAATAATGAAAGAAAGTTCCAGACATTCCAACAGGCTTGGAGTATTCATAGATCTGTTGGGATCTGGAAAAGTAAAAGAGTCTGGTCCTCCATTTTAGAAAAAAACAAATCTGCATAGTAAATCGAGAGCTATTTCCTGTCTGAACTCACAAGTTCTACACAGAGAGCAACCATGCAGTCTTTTTAAAGCCGGAGATAGTTTTAGATGATGGATTAGGTAAGTGCACTCTCTTTTTGTCTGCCTTTTTAGCACCCAGTATGGATTATACAGCAGTTTCCTCACTTGCCCTACAGATTAAGCTAATTAACTGAGAAAAGCTTTAAGGAAAACCAGAAGTGGGCATTTGTTGGAAAGGGTGGTACATTCACTATTTATATTGGAAACAAACTCTTCATCTAAAATATATGCTCAGAGGTACATCATTCTTTGATTCTAGTTTTATGTTTGTACTCTGTGTGTAACTACTTTGCATCTGACTTCGGTTGGCAGACCAGGAGATTCTAGGGAAAAAACCGAAGTAGATTTCTATAAGCCTGGATTTTGTCCCACTCAGATCATAGGAGCACTGTTAAGTATGCAAGTCAGATATGTCTAAAATCACCACTGACTGATACATGGGCAAACAATGCCCATGTACTTTAGAAAAGAACTTTGTCACAGTAACCTGTAAAATAACACAATAAACCCCAGTGCACGTAAATCAACTGAATTAACATTTTGGTTTTGCTTTTTAAATCTTTCATGTTAATCATTCTTATCTACAGAAATTATTAATCCTTATTTTTTGTCCATTATAACTAGTCCTATGTAGTGCACTTAAAAATGTAAGTGCCCTGTAAAAAAGCAAAAAAGCAAAGCATGCTTCTTACATATCACCCCATAGCACTTAAAGCACTCTCTGGGCGATTTACAAGTTAATTACACAGACTACACATTGCCCCCCTCCTCCCAGCAAGCTGGGCACTCATTTTACTGACCATGAAAGAACAGAAGGCTGAGACATCCTTGAGCTGGCTAGCTGGGATTGAACTCAAGGCCGTGAGCACAGTTTTGGTCATGAGCACAGTTTTAGCTGCAGTACAGCAATTTAACTACTGCGCCATGAGGCTCCCTGTACTATACAATAAGATTCTCCACATTTAAAGAAACATAGAACTTGCTCAATAATGTTGGTAATTTTCTTTCTACACAATTATGTATCCCAATACTAATTCAAAGATTTTTCCAAGTGTTAAGCAGACTCCAAGCCAGATGAAATCAGAGAGCTTGTCAGAAGTATATATCATATACAGTATATCATATACATTCTATTGCTTGAATGCTGGAATTGCAACTTGTGAGCTGGATCTTACAAGACTGAGAAAATATTCAAGATGTTAAATCCTGTCACTGTCATCATGGAGAAGCGGCAGCAAACTGGATCAGTTATATTCTTGTGCCACCATTTCTAGGGGTATTAGTCTACATGGCACATTGGAATAGTCAGATCTAAAGGCAGTAGTAGAATCTCTAGTTATATGCAGGTTCATAAATGGGAAGAGCTGACCTGGATATATCTCATATACAGGGTATAAGCACTGCCCCAGAAGAAGTGCATGTTATAAGCCACAGTGTTTTTATTGAGTGCTTTAATAATACAAGTCTACATCAACTGATCCACAGTCAAAAGTGGCAGGTCCCTAAAAAATTTACAAGCACATTTCCTTTTAAGTAAATCAAAATACATATCATCCTCCTCAATCCAGTAGCCTTTTGTTTGGGAAACAGAAGGCTAGTGTTAAAACACAGTTTTAGTGATGCACAGTGATTCTTGATTTTATGCTTTTTATACAAAACCTGTTCCCAATAACATGCACCCACCAGTAGAGACTTCCGTACAAAAAAATAACCCTAAACACTACATTTAAGTAGAAACAAGATATAGTTCTGAGTTTGATTGTTTTCCCCCAAAAGACACACAAGTGGAAAAAAACATTAATACAAAGCTTTGTGACAAAGCTCTATACTATTACAGATCCAACATTCCTTGTACCTTAACCCAAATTTTCCCATCTATATTTTAAAGATACAATTTTCAGTTGAACAAAAATAAAATAAAATAAAATAAAAGAATAAAAATAAAAAGGAGAAAAGGGGAAGGTAGCCAACTTCGCCACAAAATGCTTCAAAATGTAATAAAATAAGGGGAGAGCAATTGATGCACTTAGTGAATGTGCTTGCACAGGTCCAGCATGTTCTACAGCAGATTCCTATGTAGCATATCTCTTGGTCCACTGTCTGGCCATTCTGTCATGCTCTGCTCTGTTTGTCATATACTGTGTAGCGATACTTCCAACCAGAGGGTCAGCTGCAAAGAAAGCAAAACAGTTAAACATTTGCCAGATCCAAAGCAAATTGGTCATCCCTGGCCAGAACACTAAAGCAACAAGGACAACAAATACTCACAAATGTTCTCATCCTCAGTGAAAAAAGGTATTTTGACATACTGACACACCGCACTGAACAATCGACAATGATATTTTTCCTTCCTTTGTGAGAATGCAAAGATTAGCACTTTTTTCATTAACAACAGCAACCCAAACACAGTGTGGGTATTTTTGTTTAGCAAAAAACAAAACAAAACACTTGGATTTTGCACAAACCTGAAGAGTGTGTTTTCGTCCCACAATATACAGGGCTCTGTTTAGAACAAAAAATACATTTTGTAAATTTTTCACAAAAAAATGCCAGAATGAGAAAAAGGCATACAGCCTCTCATAATCTTTACCTAAGAGACGGAAAACTTTTGAAATAGTTAATTTCTTCAATATTACATTCTACAGTGGGGTCTTGACTTGAGAACTTAATCCGTATTGGAAGGCGGTTCTCAAGTCAAAAAGTCTGTAAGTCAAGTCTCCATTGACCTACAGTGCATTGAAAACCGATTAATCCTGTAACAGGCCGCTTTTGTTCCATTTTGGTTTTTTTCTGGTCTGTAAGTCAAATCTCAGTCTGCAAGTCAAACCTACATTTTGCGGCCAGAGAAGTCTGTAACTCAAAAAGTCTGTAAGTCAAGCCGTCTGTAAGTCAAGGGTCCACTGTAGTCTCAAATCAATTTCATCTGCAGATCTTTTGTCTGAACACTAGTCAAGTGTCAGAGTTTGCTACATTGTGATAATGCATTTCAGTTTTAAAAAACATTGATTAGTGTTGTCTTCTGAAATATCCAGTGAAGTTATGCCACTCAGTAACAGGTAAAGCAGGAACAACTACTACTATAATACAACCGGGTAGTGCTTCTGTTTAGGGATCCAGCCAACTTACTTTACCCACAGAGCACAATTTTCCTCTCTCTGCCCTTATGCTTTCCAATTACACTATCAGGCAAAATTAAAATTAAAATAAATACAAAACATTGTGGCACCTTAAAGACTAACTGCTATATTTTAACGTGAGCTTTCGTGGACAAGTCTGCTTCTTCAAACCTCAGATTACATTAGACATGCTTAGTTCTTTTTTTCAGGGGTTGATAAGGAGGATATGCTGGCCAAAATCCTGTTGCTTAGTTACACCTGTGTAGGGCAAGTGGTGCAACCTACAGCGATTTCTCACTGTCAATGAATCTCTGCTTGAATGTTTTGACATGTGCCCCAAAATCCTTAACTTCCAGCAAAAAGGTGCTGTTATGCCATTTGCCTTTCACAGGTGTAACTAAGCAACAGGTTTTTGGACACCATGTCCTATCCCAGTTGTGCATTGAATATATCTTTAAATTACTCTGGACAGCTTCTTTCCGCATCCCTCAAGTAATTTAAAAATAGCTTTATATTGTGTACTAAGGATTGATTTGAACTGACTGTGCGGTACATCCTATCCTTTATAGATCAATGTGTTCTCCATTCTTTTCTGGCATTTGAATCAACTCTCATTCCCATCTGATTTCAAGTTGTTTTCCTCTTGGTCAACCAATATTCCTATGTTTGGTACTTCATAAGGTGGTTCTACGGGGTTCCACCCCCAAATGCATTTCTTTAAGTATATTTAGACTATCTGAAAACCCCTAGGCTGCTTTATGACTGCTGATATTTCTCTCTTGTACATGGGTTGTTACAGTTCTATTCGTCTCACAAAAACCAAATTGGAAATTGGAAGAATACTCTAAAAATGCATTATTATCCTAAACAATCAGCAGTGTAGTATATGATATGTTATCACTTAACGTCTCAAATTATAAACTTCTGATACTTCTCAGTAATCTTAGGACTTTGTCACTAGCCCATAGCAAGTGTGAGAAATTCTTAGAAGTATCTGTTGTAATGTCTTCTCTGAGAAATACTTAACAGCAACATAAAAATAGTTTCTCACCAGACTCCTAGAGAGCAAAGGAGCTAAATATCAATGCCCCTTGTAAGAGACATTATGTATCTTCAAAATATATAAAAGTCAAACAGTCATTCTAGGTGATTTTGGAACTAAAGAATGACTTCTTTATGACTTTTTGGATTTATATCATCACTAATTGAGAATTCTGATTTTTGTTGTAATTTTGACGATTATCAGTATTATTCAATATTGCTATAATGAAAACAGGAAAATAACATATTTCAGAAGAAAAAATAACTTTATTTGATAGTTTAAAATGCATGCCTTCAGTGTGCATTGTGTTGGAAACTCAAAATGCCAGTATCAGTTAATTTTACAAAGCATATCAGATATTAAACTGCTTATTCCCCTTATCAACTAATAAAATGTCAAGAAAACAATAAACCATCTGCTACACAACCAACCAGGCATTCATATTTTATAAGAAATTTCTTTTGACAGTACTTGGATACTCCTTTTATGAGAAAACATACAAAAACATATCCAGTTTAACAGGTGAAAAGCAGAACTAATGTGGAATGCTGAAATACCTAACCATTGTTTGTGTATTTATGGATGTCTTTATTTCAAAACAGAGAACAGAAAAGCACACTGTTTGTACATTTAGTTTACAAATTCATTGATACCAATATTTCATACAACTTTAATAAAACTGTAACTTAACGGGTCATTTATTTGCTTTGCTTTTTCAAACAAATCCATAATACTGTGTAACCAAGACTTTGTTTCGACATATATAGTATTTCTAAAAGAGATTATCAATATACGTAAATAAATTATTTGTCTCTAACCCTCATCAAAGTAGTGCCATTCAGAACTATTTTTTAAAAAAAAATGTCTTTAAGAATAGTATGTTAAGAAAAACTTAACAAATGTTTATTTACACTTTATTACCTTGATCATTTCTCCTAAATTTAGAAGTGCTATACAGTGGACCCTCGACTTACAGACGGCTCCACTTACAGACTTTTCGAGTTACAGACTTCTCTGGCCACAAAATGTAGGTTCGACTTGCAGCCGGAGAATCGACTTACAGACCGGAAAAAAACCAAAATGGAACAAAAACGGCTGGGTACGGATTAATTGGTTTTCAATACATTGTAGGGCAATGGAACCTCGACCTACAGACTTTTCGACCTGCAGCCACCGTTCGAATAAGGATTAATTCCGTAAGTCAAGGGTCCACTGTACATGTTGAAATGAAAGGGCTTTTTTTGCACTCTTGGACTATTTCCAGTGATAATATATTAGAAAAAAATTATTTGTAGATGACAGCAATACTGTATATCTACTACAATGAAACTGATATAAAATAGCTAATCACAGTAGAAGAGGGAGGCAAAACAAAACAGGTTTGACTTCTAGGAGGGAAGTCTGGAGTAAGTTTCTTATATGCTTTCATTTATACGTAAATAAGCACATGGAAATTAATTCAGCAATTATGTTATTTATATTTGATATGTACATGGAAGGTATTACTAACACATACATTAAAAAAGATGCATATTATTTTTCCTCACATTAGTATTACATTTTTGAGGAAGAATTTCAATGTATCAACCCTTGTTTATGTAGCCATAACTTATGTGGTCAGTGTTTTAATTATTCCAGATTATCTCTGGGCCTGGATGTGGGATAATTCAGAATAAAATGGAAGCAGAACCACATGGATTTGAATACTGGACAGCAATCATTTTTTCGTTATCTCCTATTAAGAGGTACCATGGGCCTGAAGAGGTATAGTCTCCATTCTGAGTATGTAGCAGGCCCTCAGTAGCTAGTCAATTCCTAATGCTGGTCATTTCTGGGTGTCTCAGTGGGTATAAGAGCTACTATCAACCATATCAGCCAAAATACATGCAGCATGCCCATAATTATGCAGTACTAGGACATTTTACACTGAGATAATAATGGCTTGTGTAGTAAAGTTGTAAAGTTGATGATAAGAGAAACACTAGATTTTAACTGGAATAATTGGAACAACAAGCAAAACAAGAAGTGCTTAAATGCTATACCTGCCATGTGGAATTGTGTTCTCTGGGACATTGCTTTTTAAGGCCCTCCGTGAGTAGGCTGTAAGATTTAGCCCATCTCTCATTAAGTATCATCTACTGTTTATTAATTATAGACAACTGGCAAGGGACAGTAAACACATGGGTTTATAGCAAACAATCCCAGACACTGATTGCACTTAGATATGGTAAAAAACAAGAACTACTGAGAATCCTGGCTTACTGTTCACAACTATGAGCTTGTACAGGGTACCTCTCATTACCTTCTCCCAAAAGCAAGAATAGCTAAACTACCAAGGAAGCTGGCTGAAGCCCTAGCAAATCAAGAGGGGAAAAACAACTTCTAACCCTGGCTTCTCAGGGAAGTCACAATCCAAGAAGCTCTTCCTCTTCAGTTTTGCTATTCTCCACTCTAACCCTCCACTGTTAACTGGTGTGAGGGTAGACCAATACAGTCTTTGAGGACACTATGCCAACTTCTCAATAGTTTTGACTTTTCATTAGGACTGAATGTAGCCATGTGTGTCTTCACTGGGACTAAGGTTTTCTTTTTAAGTTCTACTGACTATCCAGTTCTACCATCCTTAACAATGCAAAATTTAAAAACTGCCATTTTAGCAAACTTTATACAACTTCACCATGTGTAACTACAGGTAGGTGTCACTTTTACATAAATGCAAATACTATCATTTCATTATTCCTTATTATTCTATTATTCCGTCAGGGAACACATCAAGCCGATTCTGATTAAATTACATTGGTTACCAGTTGCTGCCCGGACCCAATTCAAAGTGCTTGTTTTGACATATAAAGCCCTAAACAGCTTGGGCCCTGGATACCTGAAGGCCCGCCTCCTTCCATATGAGCCTACCCAGCAATTAAGATCTAGCCCGGGGGCCCTTTTGAAAGAGCCGTCCCTTAAGGAGGTAAGAGGGATGGCTTGCAGACAAAGGGCCTTTTTGGCAGCTGCCCC